AGGCACGATGGGTTCTTGTTTCGAGAGAATCAATTGTGTGTGCCTAATTGTTCAATGCATGAGTTATTAGTTAGAGAAGCACATGGGGGTGGTTTAATGGGACACTTTGGTGTTAGGAAAACCTTAGATATGTTAGTTGAACACTTTTTCTGGCCACATATGAAACGGGATGTTGAGCGAATTTGTGAGAAGTGTGTTGCTTGTAAAAAGGCTAAGTGATGAGCACATAATATTGCATACTTAACGGCCTCATTACCTGCATTTTAACTCAACTTTTGCATCTAAGTACTTAGAGTTAGCCAAAATTATGAATAATGTTGAATTTTTGATGTTACAGGTAATTATAGTGTAAATCATGTATCTTAGAACCTTGCAACCATGTGTGGATGAGTGGTGAAGAGATGGACACATTACATGAGAATTTGGAGGCTTAAAAGTGAAAGAAATCAAGGTGGTATTGGTGTTTGGTAACATAGGCATTAGCACCCATACTATTTTGTAGTAGTACCTCGATTTTCCTCCTTTTGACCATGCTCCACTTCGAATCTGAACAAGTGCAAACCATGAAAGTTCTAGATCTAGATGTCTTCTATATTGTGTCCAAATTTCAGTTCAATTGGATGGTTGGATCCAAATTTATGATGATTCTAAAAAAACTGGTCCGGAGCACAAGAGTACTGGTACGCCATACCGGTACTGTTCAGCCACTGGGGTTTGGGGTACCAGTACGCAGTACCGGTACGCTTTACTGAATGCCCAAAAATGCTTGCAAATCATGCTCCACTTGTTTGGGGGTCCCACCATTGATTCTCCCACTTGTCCCCTGACTTCCCTTACACATTTACATGCCTCCTACACCCTAGATGAAGACTTTGGAGGCAAGGACAGTAATGGGGATGGGAGAGAAGGGGGCAGCCATGATGGGTGCAGGCTAAGCCATTCCTAGCCTGTCAAAAGCCATCCACTCACCTCCCATTGATGGGAGGCCTGCACACACATGGTAGAGACCACCATGGACGAAAATGTAAGGCTCACACTTCATATATTCAGCATTCCACAAGCATTTCAAAGGGGTGGCTACCTAAGCTTAGAAAGCTCCAAGGAGGAAGATGATGAATAGTAGATAGAAAACTAGGATTTTTTCATTTTCTTCCATCGTTTCACTTGTAATTTATTGTAAGACTCTTGTAAGCTTCATTATTTACTTTTAATGTCATTTATTTCAAGTGCATTACAAGTTTAGTTGAGTATCTTAGTTTCTATCATTCTTGTCTTAAATTTTATTCATTTCAAGTTTTAAAATGGGTATTGAATATTTTTCTTCATAGTTTAAGATTCCTTGTTTTAAGTTAAGTTCCATTTTTCCTTTCTTCATTATGTCTCTTTACATTATGCATTTCTTTCTTACTTTCATGAGTAGCTAGATTTCTAGTTGGCTAATTCAAGGGAGACCTCCTCTTGGATTTTCCATTTCAACTAATTTTCTTTCCTCCTCTCGGTGTACGATGGTCCGATTTGACTGGGTTGAGAGTGGATGCGGTTGTGAGTCATTGATATACCGTAGGCCTAGTCACGGGGTATGCTTGGATCCTCACCTCCATCTCATCCCTAGCTTCCCATCAATCAATCGTTCATCTAAGCACCATTGGAGGAAGGTTTCGAGTTGAATTGGTGGAATGACCTCTTTGGATTAGCCAACACTTGTTTTATTTCATTTCCATCGAAAACACAAATCACCAAATTCTAAACTCAAAAGATTTTACACTTTTCTCTTTTTCACAAAATCACCTTCACACACTTGAACTTTCCTTCTCTGAGGAGACGACCTTGGAATACTTTTCCAAAGTAAAACACGACACTCAAAAGACTCCTTGCGCTTGGGGAGCACTTTTGTTCACAACATTACACACATTTCATTCCAAACATTTTGTACATTTCATATTCCACCATTCCATTGCCCCTTTTCCCCCATCATTCCGAGGGAGAGTGACACTTCCCCATTCCTATAAGCCATACACATTGAGGGATGATTTTAGGAGGCTAGGGAATACAACAAAAAATATCAAGCATTTTTGGACCATTGTGGGGAAGGTTAAGTGTCGATTGCAAAGGTGATTTTGGACGGCATAGGTAAGTCTCGTGATTTTCATCATGGGCCAAGGTATGTCGTCTCTTTTGTAAATAGTTTGTGCTTTATGTAATGTCTTATAATTTTTATGATAATGTATTAAATACCCCAAATTTTAAAAATGTGTGTGAGATTTGTGATGAGTATGGGCATATCACTAGTGAGTGCCCAATAAATGCCCCTTATTTTAAAAATATTTGCAAGATTTGTGGTGAGCATGGACACATCACTAGTGAGTGCCCAATAAATGCCCCTTATTTTGAAAACGTTTGCGAGATTTGTGGTGAGTATGGACATAACACTAGTGAGTGCTCAATAAATTATCCGGTTCAAGACTTTGTGATTCATATTTGATGATTGTAGATAAAAGATGTCAAATGATGCTTCTTAAGGCTTTCTCAAATGAGTGAGGTGATTGAGGATGAAAGAGTGGCTAGAGGAAAGCTAAGGAGTTGGAGAAACCAGAAAATCAGTCAAAATTGTAGAAACAGTACCGGTACGCAGTACCGGTACGATATGGCCTCTGTAACAGAAAGTATAGTACCGGTATGGTTTTGTCTTTGGAGTTCGGGGTACCGGTACTGTCTGCTAAATCTTCCCTATTTCTGCAACCATCATCTGCTGCTTTGAGGGTCCCACCAACAGGTCTCCTACACTTTTCTAACACGCCGACAACACTGTTCATCCCTTTTCACACCTCTCTGTAGACTTTAGGTGCCATGATAATCAATGAGGAGAGAGAAAAGAAGGCAAGATAGGTGTGCAGACAAGGTCTGCACTCCCTTGTCCTGCCCATTGCTCTTGTAGCCCTATGGATGGAGATCACATCTGTAGGCTAATCCATCACTCCATGGATGTTTATGGCAAGGGAGGACTCCATTATTCAGCGTTCCAGACACTACACAGAGATATAGAGAGAGAGAGTCTAGAGAAGCTGATGAATAGTGTTCTAGAGGGATAAATTGAGATTTTTACATTTTCTTCAATACATTGTCTTGTAATCTCGTGTAAGAATCTTTAGAGCTTCATTAAATGCCATTAATGCTAGTTCCTACAAGTTCATTGCAAGTTTATCTCTCTTTTAAAGCTTCCACCATTAATGCATTTATGTTCTTCATTCCTTCCTAGCTGTAAAATGGGTATTCATTGCTTTCACTTATTGCTTATGTTTGCTTGCATTTAGTTACTCAAGAACTTCATTCCTTTGAAATGCATTCTCATTTCATTGTTAATTTCATCCCAAGTATGAGTAGCTAAATCATTTAGTTGGCAAAACCAAGAGAAACCTTCACTTGGGGATGTCATTTCAACTCATTCTCCTCCCTTCTTTCAAAGTTCAATGGTTCGGTTTGACTGGGTTGAGGGTGGATAAGTTGGTGAGTCTTTGATATTCCATAGGCCTAGTCACGGTTTATGCTTAGATACTCACCCATCTTATCCCTAGCTTCCCGCGCATCAATCGAACATTTATACTCTATTGGAGGAGGGATTCGAGTTGAGATGGTATCCCTATTGGACTGACCTCTTGGATTAGCCAACGTTTGTTTCTCATTTCATTTTCACCAAAACACACTTCATCAAACAACTTTCAACAACAAAAGATTTTACACTTTCTTTCACCAAAAAAATCACCTTCCCTTTGGTTCACATCCTTCCCCATGGAAACGCCCTTGGAGTACCTTCAAGTAAAACACGATCCATAAAAAATCTCCTTGCGCTTGGGAGTATTTTAGTTCATACACATAACACATTTTCACCATCCCATTTTTTCCACCTCCTTGCCCTTTCTTTTGACATTACTTAAAGGGAGAGTGACATTCTCCTCCATCCATATAAAATGCATTTTGAGGGATGATATTTAGGGGTTAGGGATAACAAGGAAAATAGGCAAGCACTAAGTTGAAGGTTCAGCCCTATGGTTTGTATAATCCCTTACCTATACCTAGTTCACCTTGGGTAGATATCTCCATGGATTTTGTGTTAGGTTTCCCTAGGACAAAATAGGGATGAGATTCTGTGTTTGTTGTTGTTGACAGATTTTTAAAGATGACACATTTCATTGCATGTCATAAGGTCGATGATGCTAGTAATGTAGCTGATTTGTTCTTTAGAGAGGTGGTGCGTTTACATGGAGTGCCTCAGAGCATTGTGTCGAATTGTGATGCTAAGTTTTTGAGCTATTTCTGGAAGATGTTGTGGGGTAAGTTTGGTACTAAATTACTCTTTTCTACTACTTGCCATCCACAAACAAATGGGCAAACCGAGGTAACTAATCGTACTCTTTCAACTTTATTGCGTGCTGTCGTTGGTAAGAATTTAAAAACTTGGGAGGATTGTTTGCCTTATGTTGAATTTGCTTATAATCATAGTGTGCATTCTGATACTAATTATTCCCTTTTGAAATTGTCTGTGGTTTCAATCGTTTAACTCCATTAGATTTGATGCTTTTACCTGTTGATGAGTGTGCTAATTTAGATGGAGAACGAAAGGCCGAATTGGTGAAGCAAATGCATGAGAAAGTTAGATTGCACATTGAGAGGTGAATGAAGCAATATTCTACTCAAGCTAATAAGGGCGTAAGAAGGTGGTCTTTGAGCCGGGAGATTGGGTTTGGGTTAGTGTTATCAGAACCGGACCAGACCGCCCGGTTCGACCAGTTCAACCGTGAATCGGGACCTTAACTGGTCCGATTCTTTAGTTGGACCGCTTAAAGAAGAAAACCAGTTAAAAATCAAAAAATTGGCTGATTTTTGTAAAAAAAGGTGAACCAGGTTTTATAAAAATCAGATGGTTTAATACCCAATTAAAAAGGCACCACCAGGCTTTGGGGCTTTTTGTGTATTTGGGGCTTTTTTTTTGCCCTAAATCGCAGAAGGCACCACCAAGCTCCAGCGACCAGAGATCTTCGACTGCTATCAGCCACTGCGATCATGTTCTTCGATTGCGATCTTGTTCTCGGACATCATTTGTCATATAGCAATGTAGCAATTTATCACTTTCGGATGGAATGTGCACTGATTCGTTCTATTCGAGTTAGGTCTCGCACCACTAAGAGTTTGAGCTCCGCCATGGCTAGTGGTGGACCTGGTGGTTATGGTGGTGGACTTTGCACAATTGAAATAGAGAGAGAGAACGCGTAACTTTTGGGGTTTTAATATTTAGATCCACATGAGTGTACTTTTATAATAAATAAAAAATAATATAATTAGTTTGGATTATAGAGGTTAGGTTATCAAAAATTGATGGGTTTTTTTTTAGCTAAATTGTTATGTTTTATAATTATTATATATATATATTTTTTATTATATAACCGGTTCGACCAGTTGACCCATTGGTTGAACCGGTGAACCATTGACCCAGTTTTCAATCCGGTGGTGGCACGAATAAATGATAACGCTTACAAACTAGATCTTCTTGGTGAGTATAGTGTTAGTGGTACTTTTAATGTTACTGATCTTTCTCCTTCTATTGCAGATGACGAAGATTTGAGGACGAATCCTTTTGAAGAGAGGGGGAATAATGCAATGCAATCTGATCCGTTGAACATAAATGGAGGTCCTATGACTCTGGCAAGAGCAAAAAGGATGAAGGAAGCATTGAACGGGCTGATTCAAGACATATGGGCTGATTGTGCAAGTTCAAGCATGGAGCATGATCCACTTGGGCAACAAAGATCCATCAACATGATTCAAGTTCTAGAAGATTCTGGCAAAGGCTAAGCTTAAAATTGGCGTGTTTAAAATTGATCTGATTGTAAGACTTTCCTTATCTATTTAGGCGTGTGAGTTATTCTTTTTAGGAAAGAAAGACTTTCCTTGTTTAATTAGGCATGTGATCAGCATATTAAAGGGTTGATTGCGTTTTTCTCTTTTAGTAAAGTAAGAGTTTAGGAAAGTAAGAGCCATTTCTTTACCAGCAAGTAAGAGATATTTCTTTACCCACAAGTAAGAGATATTTCTTCACCAGTACGTAAGAGATATTTCTTAAATAGGATAAGCAATTTTAGGAAGTTTTCTTTGTAATAACCAGCCTATAAATAGGCATTCAAAGCATTGTAAAAAGCATAATATTTTTATGAGTATTGTGAGGTTTTTACCTTATTGTTCTTCCAAGAACTATTTCAAGAACTTATCAAGAATTAATCTTTCTTGTGGCGTTCATCGACTTATCACTCAATCTTGAGTGTGGCGTCTTTCTCTTGAACTTTTAACCTTGGGTTCTTGTTTCTTACAAACATTGGGTCTACGGTTCTATGTTATTCTAATTTTGATTTGTGAACTTTTTTGGGGAGTCTTCAATCAATTTGCCTGTGGGTTCTTGATTTCGTTTGTGGGTTCGCATCAAGACGCAAGATGCTTTGTTCAAATGCAAGCTTCTGGTTCATACGCAAGTCCCTCTATTCAAACACAGACGTAATTTTCAAAACGATCAGGTCCGCGCTGCTTGAACTATTTTTTACACTATAAATACCCTATGTACGTATTTTAGGTCAATTTAAAAAATTTCTAACCCTAGGAAGCCAAGAGAACTTGGGAGAGAAAAAAAAAGGGCAATATCTTGAAGAATTAACACATGAATCATATCAAAATGCTGTAGGATCAACCAACTGTAGCTTAAGGTAGGGTTTATTTCTCAAATCTACTCATTGATAATTAGGGTTATTATATCTATATTACAATATATATGATAGATATACAATGTTTTTACATTCTTTTTTATTACATGATTCATTTCTTGGAAAAATTACATAATTTACATTCAAAACTACATGTTCTTGATTATGGTCAACTTAGATATATTTTTTTTTGCGATATCTTGTATATTTTGATTTAATCACCCTTCTAATTTGAGAATTGTGGAATTACAAATTGTGACATATGTGGAGGCTATTCAAAATTCGTATTTTCTCTCTTGTAGGGGTAGGTGTGATGAATGTGGATACACTCGAATGTATATCGCAGACGTAGAGTCTTTAGATGAGTTTCTTACACTGAGGGATTTGAAAGTTCTCTATCACTCGTAATGAAGTCGCTTACTTCTTTGCAAAGTTCCAAGAATTCATACTATTAGCTTATGATGATCGAAATTGGAGGCTAGTACACTATCTTGGGAAGTCTCAACAAACCTAGTTACGCTCGAGTTGTAGTACTTGAGCATGCGGCGTTTGTACTCTGCATTCTTAAGCATGGTCATCTCCCTCGCCTCCTCTACCAAGTTGAGATTGATGCAGAGGCTTTCATCGTTAGTGGTAGGGTTGTGGTTTTGGACCCTAAGGGAGTGTACCCCAATCTTGACTAGTATAACCACCTCTATCCCATAGGCTAAGGAGAATGGGGTGTCACCCGCAACTCTTCTTGGCGTTATCCGGTAAGCCAATAGTACTCCTGGGAGCTCGTCCACCCACCGCCCTTTGGTGCTTTACAGTCTGGTTTTCAGGTTGTGGAGGATTGTTTTGATGGTGACCTTTGCCTTCCCATTCTCCTGTAGATGGGTTGGGCTGGAATGGGGTTGCTTGATCTGTATATCTGCACAGAAGCCATTAAGGAGTTTGTTGTCAAACTACTTAGCGTTGTCACTTACTGTTGCACACGTTACTCCGAAATGGCATACTATGCCTTTCTAGATGAAGTCCTTCACTTTCTAGTCTGTAATTCTGGCTAAGAACTCAGCTTATACGCACTATGTAAGTTAGTCAATGGCCATTACCACAAATTTGCACTGGTCCCAACTCATGGGTAGAGGGCCTAAGATCTCAATCCCCCACTTACGGAAGGGCTAAAGGCTCATGATGGTGGTGAGTTCTTCTGGTGGCTGCCTTGGCACTTGTTGCAAATTTTTACGAATTCACGGGCATCTTTAATCACCGCCTTATGAGCTAGTTCACGCCCTTTTAAGTGATTTCAGATATTCCTTCATGGATTTCTCTCATAGCATAATCAGAATCCTCAAGAGAGAGGCAACGGAGTAGGGGGAACAAGTAACTTCTCTTGTAAAGGGTGTCACGCAAGATGACGTACCTAGACACTCTCAGTCTTAACTTGTTGGTGTCAACTGGATTCCCTAAGAGAACGCCTCCCTCTAGATAGGCTCGGATAGGTGTCATCCGATTGGCCTCGGAGGATGCACAATTGATGTTGTCCTCCTCTACTTTGAGTCTACTTCGCTCAAATTGGTGACTTGTGAGTGTGGGGCCCATCAGTGTGTTTGCAAATGCAAACTTGGTGAGTGCGTCTGTCATGGCATTGTCCTCAATTGGCACATGCTAAATTTGGAAGTGGTCAAAATTTTTCAACAAAGCTTAGACCACTGATGATAGGTATTCTTGCATCCTCCCTTCCGTTGCTTCAAAATCTCCCTTTAACTAGTTGCCTATCAATTAAGAATCGCAATAAGCTGTAAGACAGAGGGCCTCCATCTTAATTGCGAGCTTCAAGCCTGACATGAGAGCCTCATATTCTTCTTGATTGTTTGATGCTGCAAACTAAAGGGATACGACATATTTGAGTTGAATTCCATGGGGACTAATAAGCACTAGCCTTGCTCCACCGCCCTTGCTAGTAGAGGATCCATTTACGTATAGTTTCCAACATGCTACTACGTGAGTAAGAGATGACTATTTAGGCGTGGCATGGCACTTAGGCATGATCGTGGTAGGTTGAGGTATAGGGAACAAGGGTGTTGAGGACTCTAGGGGAGTGGCTACTAAGGAACTGGGCACCTCTGGCCTGTGAGCCTAGATTCTAGGGGAGTGGGAGGCTCGCTCTCTGCGGGTAGCGCTTGGGCTTGCCTCATAGGGATTTGAGGCACTGTGTAATAGGCAAGTCAGCGTAGGGTCGCAAGGCACTCCTTCCTAGGAATCTCCTTCTTCTAGTGATGTAGATTCAGCCACAAAGTCCGCAATTGCTTGCACTTTTATGGTCGCCCTTGGCTGGTACAGTACATCGAACTCACTTAACTCGATGGCCCATTTGATGAGTCACCCTGAGACATCTAGCTTTCCCAAGATCCGTCTAAGTGGTTGATCAGTGAGAACCACGATGGTATGGCTCTGAAAGTAGTGTCGTAGATGCCTGGCGATGGTGACAAGTGCGAGAGCCAACTTATCCAATTCGGAGTATCTCACATTTGCTCCTCGATATGCCCTGCTTACATAGTAAACAAGCCTTTTGACTCCTTTTTCCTCCTTGACCAGGACAGAGCTAACAGTAAAGGGTGAGGAGACGAGGTAGAGATATTATCTTTCTCCTGGTATGGCATGGGATAGTAAGGGGAGAGCAAATGAGATAGGCTTTTAACTTTTGGAAAGCTTCTTTCGCATCTAGTCCCCACTGAAAAGACTTGAGAATAATATTATAGAATGGTAAACACTTATCTACTGATTTTGAGACAAACCTGTTGAGGGTTGTTATACTTTTGTTAAGATGCTGGACCTCCTTCACAGAAGCTAGAGATTTCATCTCCAAGATAGCTTTGATCTTGTCTGGATTGGCCGCAATGCCCCTTTTGTTACCCATGAAGCCTAGGAACTTCCCTGAGCTAACACTAAAGGTGCACTTTTCAGGATTTAGCTTCATCTGGTAAGTTCTCAGGACATCAAAAGTCTTCTGCTGGTGTGGTACATGGTTTGCTATAGCCAAGCTCTTTACCAGCATATAGTTCACATAGACCTCCATCGTCTTCCCGATTTGTGCCTCAAACATCTTGTTCACGAGGCGTTGTTATGTGGCTTCAGCGTTCTTGTGTCCAAAAGACATGACCCTATAGCAGTAGGTTCCATTTGGGGTGATAAAAGAAGTTTTCTCTTGATCAAGTGGAAACATACTAATTTGGTTGTACCCAGAATAAGCATCTAGAAAACTGAGTAACTCATGTCCAGCAGTAGCATCGATAAGGACGTCGATGCATGGCAAGGGATAACTATATTTGGGACCACGCAAAGGCGCCACTTTTCACTTGCTTTTGTTGCTATCACAGCATTTGATAGCCAAATTGGATAGGCTACCTCCCTTACCAACCCATTTGAAAGCAACTTTCCCACCTCCTTTGTCATGGTCTGGGCTCTCTTGGCACTTATAATTTTCAACTTTTGGCGGACAAGTTTGTACCTGGGATCCACATTGAGCTAATGGGTGGCCACCTC